AAGGGATAGTTCTTGCCCCAAAAAAAAAAATTGTCAATTTCAAAATATGATTGTTTTGTTTTATTACTACATACTTAAATATGAATAATTATTGTCAAACTTTAAAAATACTGTCATGATTAAATAAGAGCAATTATTTCTATTTAGGATATAAAAATATGATTGCCCTATTTTGTAATACGCACTCTTTTAATTCTATTTAGGAGAATTTTCTATTAGAAAACAATGTTTCAGGACTCTTAGTTTATTTTTCATTCCAAACCTAACATTAGAATAAATGTTTAGCATCTAGACCTAATGAGTCTTAGAAAACCGAAGTCATAGTTTAACTATTATAGTGTCGTGCACTCGTCTATATATATAGTATAAGTTTCGATGCTTTTTCTGGTAACAGCTTCGATACTTTTAGAAAAACAAATTTTTAGTGAATACCTACATTCATGAGGCAAATAATGCTTCATGTGCAGTTCAATTTAAATGTTGAAAGCATTTTTCAAAGAATTTCAACAAGCAAACAGACATCTATGGTGATGGTTATTTTAAATATAGAAGGCGGGATGATTTTCTCATATATTTATATATGAGGTACATGGCTCATGTTAATGCCAAGTGGTGTAAAGATCTTATGAATAAAGGTCACGATTGTGTCACGTTTTGATCTTATGAGATCACAAATAAGGATAACTCTGCACAACTTCGGGATGAAATCAAATTATATTGTGATTGTCAGTATATTTCACCATTTGAGGTGATGAGAAGAGTATTTGGGTTTGAGGTTCAATATAAGAATTCATCAGTTGAACGTTTGAGTTTTCACTTACCCGATGAGGAGTATGCATATTTTGATTATGATGTTATGAGTAATGTTGTACAACGTGAATCGATTAAAGAGAGCATTTTCTAGCATGGATGTAACCAGATGAATTGTACCCAAAAGCTATTTATTTAAGCTTCACTGAATTACCTAGAAAAGGGAGGTTTACTCTAGGTTGACTAACATATGCCTTCAGAATCCGATGAATCTTTTTATTTACAATGTGTACTCAATCTAAAGTGTGGTCCTACATATTACAATGACTTAAGAACAATGGATGAGGTTTGTTATCAATCGTATTGCGATGCAAGTTACACATTGGATTTGTTGGACGATGACTGAAAGTACGAAGAAAGATTTTCTAAAAGTAGGTTGGCCTTGAAAAATCTTTTTGCCATATTATTGTCAGTTGATACAATGAGTAAACCAGTATATATATTTGGGAAAATAATGGATGTTTTTATCTAATGCCATTTTGCATGGACAATGAAATGCTTTACTACATCTATGTAATAAAGAATATGACAGAGGGTTTGACTATTGTAGTGAACTAACTGTAATAAAGAAACATCGGCTTAATGGGACCGATTAATCGGCTTAGTCAGCCCTAACTGTAGTGAACTAATCGGCCTAGTCGGCCCTAATTGTAGAGGACTAATCGGCTTAGAGCAACCGCAATGCGTTCTTTCTAGTGTGGGTATAGTGTTGCCAATTCACTAATTTAGACATACTACATCTTTTTTTACTCCCAACGCATGTAGTCCCATCGTTCTTTCTTGATGAGATGGCAAAAAAATGTTGACAGTGTGAAGCGCCTGGTCTGACTATAGAAAGCTACGTTAACTTGCTGACTCAGATACAATACTTCACAAATCCGGCAAGTCCTTGGAGTAATTGTAGGGAAACGGTTACTCAATAAAACAAAACAAATAATTCATATTTATTTTAAAAGAACATTTTCCACATGGGAGTTGGAATGGGCCGAGAGATTGTGCTGCATTGGAGACTTATTTTAACCCTCACGATACAATCACTCCACTTTTTATATTGTAGACTAGAAAGCCACTTAATTATTTGACATTTGTCATTTTTAAAATAGACTAGACATTGATGAGTTGAAGATGCTCTTAGTCGGCCAAAAAAATCGGCCGCCTAGACGTTAGGCGCTCTTCAACCATCCGACTAGCGCCTAACAAGTTTTAGATTAATGTTGTAGAGCGTCTTCTACCAAACGAAGGAAGTATAATGATTGGAATGTAAAATGTATTGTTAGACTAATTCACACATTGGGATATAACATATTATATACTACATGGGAGTAATATGTTATATCCCAATGTGTGAATTATTCTAACAACACATTTTACATTCCAATCATTATACTTCCTTCGTTTGGTATTAAGAACAACATGCACTTGGGCGTAGGAATAAGAAGAATAGAAAGGTGCTTTACATACACTTCCGTCCATGGGGGAGTGAGCGGAGCAAAATCGATCAGATTCATCACCGTCTACATCTTCCATTTAATTAGCCAAAAATTATACTAGGGAATGGAGAAATAAATAAAGAGGAAGAAGATGGTGAAACAAACACAGAAGCGAACAACCCAATCAAGTCGTAAAGAAAGTTGAAGGCACCGGACAAATAAGTAGCAAAAAAGAGAAGGGATTGGAGAAGGTGTAAAGAAGAGAGGGAATCGGTTGCCTGGTGGGTGGAGGAATTAAAAGTTGTTAGATTGGGGGGAGATGTGTATAGTAATTAAGGATATAAAAGGAACTTTGTTTATAATTCACTTCCTAAAAAAGAAAGGTTGCAATTAATATCAAACTGCGGAAAAAAAAGTGGTGCACTTATTTAAGAATAAAGGAAGTATTTATAACCATACAAACTCAAACAACACACATAACTCAAGACTAAAGGAGTATATGAACCTATTTAGTAAAACTTAAATTGAAAGAATCGACATACTCTGTTGAAATTGGTGAAATTACAATTGAAAGGACTGGATTGGAAGGACATAATCTGTTGAAAACATTTACCTAGAACATATTTTATTACAAAATAAAGCAAAAATTACTTAAAAACATAGTTAAATACTCCCTCTGTTCCTGAAAATATTTCTCACTTTTCTTTTTAGGCAGTTCCTAAAAATACTTCTCACTTTCCATTTTTGGACAAATTTGTGTGGTTCACATTCATTTTACCTTTTTCTTACATAACTACGATCATACATTTCCACTTTATTCCTCTTTCTTAATAAGTGTGCCAATTCATACCGGGAAGTATTTTTGGAATGGAGGTAGTAGTCATCTTCAAAAATTTCAGTCAATTCATTTAGAAAATAACTCTAACTTTACTTATTTTTGGTTATTACATAAATCAACGTGCGAAATCAAAATTAACGATCCGTTTGGTATCATTGGTATCGACTGAAAATGTTGAAATTAGTGAAATTCTTTCAAACACGAATCTGCTGAATTGTGACAAAATTATATTTAAAGTATATTTATTAATGAAATAAAGAGAACTTATAAAATCATAAGTAAAAATTGTCTTCTAAAGTGATCTTAGACAAAGCATATAGAAAACTAACTCCAACTTTGCTTATTTTCATTAGTACACAATTCTGTACGTAAAATAAGAAGTTGCATGCGTTTATTAAAAATGTTGGTTCATAAGATTAATAAGGCTGATAAATCGAATATAGGGGTTACCAAACACACTACTCCTTCCGTCCCTAATAAAACTTCCAAAACGGCTAGGCACACAGTTTAAGATAGTGAGTGTTGTGTGGTGGAGAGTTATGCAAATGAAAGAGAAATGTGTAAGAAATGTTGTGAAACATAAAATATTTACCCAAAAGGGAAGTGAAAGCTTAATTTGAGACGGACGAAAAAAGAAATTTGAAAGTTTATTTAGGAACATAGGGAGTATATTAGAGCCTGTTTAACAACATTAAATCCGCCGAGTTGGGTAAAAGCCTAAAAGGATGGGTGCATGTAAGTTTTTTTATCGTGTGCATTTTAGTTTTGAAAATTACTCTATAAAGATACTCCACTTGTCAAAATAATACGGAGTGGCCGTTTGGAGAACTCAAAATAGGCTTATAAGCCTGAAAGTAGAAAAAAATCACCAAACACATGCCAAACAGGCTGTTTTGGCTGATTTTCATGATCATCCGGAAAAACAAGTGTCTTGCTACTTTTTGAGCTGAAATTCATTATTTCACTGTTGGCTATTGCAAAGACTAATCTGCCCTCTATATCTAGAATATATCTTCCCTTGCTCAAGATTGAAGTGGACGACATAATCACCGGCCTGCTCACTGCCTCATAGTTTTGCACTTTCGTGATTCAAATTGAAGACTTTTGCTGAGCTGCTCCATATTCACAAAGGCCAGGTAAGCTGCATATGGATCGAAGATCATCTGGATTGATTTGTTATTATGACACCAGAGTATATTTACGAAGTATATTCTTTTAAGTATATTTCTTTTGCTGAGCTGCTCCATATTGTTCTAGTATGTTTCTATGGTAAACAATTGATTCAAGCAAAAAAAAAATAGCAAAATTCGCCCCATTTATTTAATACAAACAATAATACCTTTATGGTAATTTTACATCCAATTAGCTAATTCAACCAACATATTACCAAACACTTTCATTTCAACAAATTCAGTCTTTAAAGCAAATTCAGCCTTATCAGCCGTTGCAGCTGCTACCAAACGAGCCCGGAGTACAATAAAGATATTCGGGATAAGGGTCAGATAAGGCCTCGAACTTCGAAAAAAATGTCAAATAAGGCCATATTTAGGCTGCTATGTCCGGCTAACGCCATTTGGGGCGGTTCCCGGTGGAATTTTTTGATGAATTTTTTTGAGAATCTTATTCATTAAGTCTAGTTTACTCATATCAAATTTGAACTACCAATTCAATCGGGAAGGCATTCAAATGAATTCTTGAAGATAATTGCGCTTTTAACTGCACAGTTATTTTCAAGAATTCATTTGAATGCCTTCCTGATTGAAGTTTTAGTTCAAATTTGATATGAGTAAACTAGACTTAATGAATAAGATTTTCAAAAAATTTCATCAAAAAATTCCATCGGGAACCACCCCAAATGGCGTCGGCCAGACAGAACATCCTAAATATGGCCTTATTTGACATTTTTTTTCAAGTTCGAGACCTTATCTGACCCTTATCCCAAGATATTCCCCTTGTCAAAAAACAATAAACATATTCATTGTTTTAATTATCAGTTGGGAATTACGATAAAAAAAATTACTAGCCCGGGTACAAGTAGGTCGCAATCAACGACTCTTCTGACCATTTGTGCGTTCAAACGTCTAGACTCAAAACTACGCGATCTCGTCCTCTCCTCTGAATCCAATCTTCCAATGGCTCCCGCCGCCGTCAACCGATGGCTACGGCCCGAGGTTCTTTCCGCTTTTATTCATCAATCTTTCCCTTATATCTCTCTTCCGTCCGTATTTCCGTAATAGTTGAGATTTTTCGAGTTCTGTAAGATCTGAATGGTATAAGCGTATGCGATTGCAGGTTTACCCTCTCTTCGCCGCAGTAGGTGTAGCCGTTGGGATCTGTGGAATGCAACTGGTTCGCAACATCTCCACCAACCCTGAAGTCAGGTATGATTTTTGTGTCTTTAAATTGGAGAGAGAAAATTTTGTTATTCTTAATTCATAATCTTATACTGCCATGATCTGTTTTTACCTTTGCTGCTTGCTATTTCACAAAAAAGTATTCAAGCAGGCCCTTTCGGTCATGCAAATCGTGGGCTTGATTACTAGTATTTTTTTTCCCAGTTCAAGGAGGCCGGAGTTATAGAGTTTGAAATAGCGGTACAGATAATTCAGTATTGTGATGTCAATCTGCAATTCGTGTACCAAAGTCAGTAGAAATATCAATGTTGTTTGGCGAGAAGGGATTGAATTTTTATAAATTATATGAGTTGAAGGGATTGAATTTTGTAGGATTAAATAATTTTGATAATTGAGTCGATTGCAAAAGATTATAACATTTGTGTTGTTTTGATTTTTGAATATAAAGTAAAGAGAAGAATCTATAAGTATGGACAATATATAACACAATTTCCTCAAATAAGACTACTACTCTAATAAAAAAGAAGTTTAACTAGTTTTGCTCTTTTATTAGTATTGAATGAAATCCATTTGTATACAAAACAATGATACTTCTATTTGTGCACCTGACTCATGTTTTACTCATATTTGCATCGATTTCCTTAAACGAAATTGATAATAGTGATATATATCTATACATAATTACTTATATGGACTACTATGCCCCTTTTTGTAATTTTCATTGGAACTGTTTTTTAGTTTCTTTGGAGGCTAGAGTCTTGGAGCATCCAAACTTTAATGGCGCATAAGTGTTCTTTGTCCTTTTACCATTCATCCTTGGCGTTGCGTGAATGTTATTTTGGGGAAACTGATGATTGGTCAAATCATCTTTTTGATGTGTAGGGTGACCAAGGAAAAGCGGGCTGCTGGCGTGCTGGACAATTTCGCAGAAGGAGAGAAATATGCAGAACATGCAGTCAGAAAGTTTGTTCGTAACAAGTCTCCCCAGATCATGCCATCCATCAATGGCTTCTTCACTGATCCTAAATGAGATATTTCAGTCCTGTTGGTTAAAATATGTGACTTCTATTTTTCTAACCTTGCTGGTTAGCACTGTTTAAAAAGGAATGCAAGATACAATGCTTATTATACTGAATGGAATTTCTAAGCTACAGATTGAAATGTTTGAATAAATGCAGTCTGTGGAGACATGTATATTCTCTGTTTTTTGTATTACATTCATCATCTGCTACTTAGTCTCTCCTTGTTTAGCATTTGTTGGTTATTTTTTGTTTGGTACTTCCACTCCAACTAGTGTACCAAGAGAGGTTTTTAGAAGCATAAGTGGTGGTGGGCATATTCACAACTGGGAGAACCTCAACTGTATAACTTAAGTAGGTTTTGATCTGATTGTTGTTGATCGGCTTTTGTTGGACTATGTCAGTTTTAATATGGTTTACCAACTTTTTATGGGTGCGATTTATTGATTTTTTTTATCTATAGGTTGTGAAAAAGTTAGAAACTCAGAACATATACTGAACCGTGGGTAAAAACTAAAGTCTCTATTTTGGTTCATATGGCTGGGAGCTCTGGTTCTAGACTTCTAGTCTTGATTTTACACCTTTTCTAAGATTGTCCACTTTCGATCCTCAGACCGAATCCGTTTTGAGCAATTCCAGCCCTGTGACCGGACTGCCCTAGAGAGTGGTTCAAGGTCCCAATTCCCAATTTTGGGGACCGAATTGGACGGTTCCGGTTTTGTCCCAGATTATTTTTAATCTTCGGCTGGCCAAAAAGCTAAAAGAATACTTCGTATAATGGGAATCAATTCCGTAACCGCTCGGGTACCTAGAACCGGCATGGATCCGAAAAAAAAAAAACAGTTCATAAACTAAAAGCAATATTAAATTATTTATAAGAAGATAAAAAATATGAATACAATGAATGTTTATAATGAACTAACCGTAATCAATTACAAATTCATAGAGTATTAGTTAAAATATATATGTATACTTGAAAATAATTGTGGATCCAAAAGTAGAATATAACCTTTTAAATTTTAACATTTTATTATGTTGAGTTAAAGACAAGGTGACAATTAAAGAAAAATATATTAATAAAAAAAGGTTTAAACCTATGTAGTTTCCACTTCGATTGGTTTGGATTGATTCAATTTCAGCCAATTTTTTTCTTTTAGTTTGTTCATGCAAAAATTTGAAGCACGTGTGGACCGAATTCCCAATTGTGGTTCTAGATCAGGACCTCAGCAGATTCCAATTAGAGCATCTCCAAAACAAAAGTTCAGAACATGCATGACATAAGAAAAATAGATGCATTAAAGTTGAAATAGATAAACCTCTCCACTTTCTTCTCAGAGTAGTGGAGTTCTAGTTATTTTTTTTCTTCAACATGTCAATAACAATATCAAAATTTAAATAATGTGTTTGACATTGCAAATAAAAATAACTAAACTTTTTAAATCATAGAAATGAAGACTTTTATTTAATAAGTTTATAGAGTATGCTACTGGCTCTTTTCACGCTTTTGCAATAGAAATGTTTTTGAAGCAATGCCCAATACCCCATCTCCTTTATTTGATCGAGCCAAAACTTTATTTGGTTCCAGGTAGGCCTGAACTCGGGCCGGGTGGCCCGACCCAGAACCGACCTGAACCGGCACTGCTCCGGCCCGGCCCGGTGGCCCGGTCAGTGACCGGTTCGGGTAGGCCCGACCCGCTGGGGTTCCGGTCCGGGCTCGGGCCCCTCAAAACGTGAACCTGTCCGGCCGGTTCGGGCCATTTTATTTTTTTATTTTTCCTTTTTTTTGAATTTTTTTAAGTTTTTGGGTTGGGCTGGGTATTTTGGGTCATTTGAGATGGTTTGGGATGGTTTGGGGGGGGTTAATTAGGAAAAGGCAAAAAAAATGAACCGAGGCCCGGCCCAGCCCGGGACCCGGGGTTACCCGGACCGGTTCCGGGCCTCCCCTTTCCTGAACCGAGGCCCGGCCGGGCCCAGGCCTGAACCGGGCCCGAACCGGCCCAAGTCCAGGCCTAGTTCCAGGTCGCATTAACATATTCCGGTTCCAAGAGCAAATAAAAAAAGTCACTATGATACTTCAAAGCAAGTTAAACTGTTTGATATGTGTTGCAAGCATTGCATTTCCTTTCTTGGCATGCATGCATTATGTGTTAATGTATGACATTACGCATCTGCACCTGGTACCTTGTTCATTATGAACATCATCTTACAACTCTAATTGAAGGCGAGGTGGCAAGTAAAATTAAAAGAAAACCAGCTTTCTTAGTTCAGTCATTGAACCAAAATTGACTTCAATAATGTGGGAATGTAGGGTACTAGATGTGAGCTACATCAAGAAATAAAACGAAAACTACTTATTCTCATCTGCAAGAGGATGAAGAGAATACATGTAGACTCTGTGCTGATCATGAAAAGCTGCCATTGGAATGAGAGGAAGCAATCAAAGTGGGGTGGGATGGATTTGATCATGCTTACTCTCATCAGCTGCAATATACCATGAATTCCACGCCTCAACATAGTGACCAAATAAATCATTTGCAGCTGCGATATTGATCACCAAAACAAGTTTGTGTTTTCAACTCAGAGGTAGCAATAAGACATCATATAATACTGAGTAATTTAGAGGCCTCATATTAAAAGACCTTGTAAAAGGACCTTTTACCCTTATTTATGTTGAGCATTCAATGAAATTTTCTTGTTTTGAATGGCATAAAAGCATGAAATGCAGAAGAAGTTAATATGAGCATTGTTTGGAAGATTAGTAAAAAAACATGCATCGAAATCCAACAATAACACTTATTTTGAGACTTTGGGCACCTAATGAGAGAATTGAGTGTTTCTCTAATCAAGCCTGAGCAGACAAATTCAAACCCGACAATATCAGATCTTTGAAACTCGGATCAAACAAGTACTTAGTTTGGAACAGAGAAGAGCTTTAGAAACTGCAAACAGCTTTTACATACTTTGCACTAATGATACCAAAAGAACTACTAATCCATATAATCAACATTTGGACCTTATACATACTTTGTACTTTGTAAATCATCAGTCATCGGCAAGAGATGAACAAAACCTTTTACAGAAACTAGATAAATATATGTTGGAGTAATTAGATGTTTCCATCTCGATGGTCATGGGTGGAAAGGAATGTCGTTAACAATTTAAATGTTGGGTTCTAGAGATTACCCTTATTGCAATACCGAGGGCGATATGTAGAAGCCAGGTTCTCCCAGTTGGGAATATGCCCACCACCACTTATGCTTCTAAGAACCTCTCTTGGTACACTAGTTGGACTGAAAGGACCAAACTCAAATTCTTTGGAGCCCTGCTTATGCCGCTCAGGTGACAATTTGCAGTTTTCATCCTTCATGTAACCATGTTTCACATACTGTGTCCCATATTCACATGGCTTCACATCTGATGATGAACCAACCTTGTTTCTCTTTGTCACATTATTTGTAATATCCGTCCCAAATGTCCTCTTTAGACCATTCATATTGGCGGCACTACTGGACCCACTCCTGGCTGGATTTCCTAACTGCCCTATCCATCTGAATGCTGGTTTTCCACTTTCTGGGTGACGAATCTGAAAAAAAATACACAATAAATCATGATAAGGAACTATCTGCAATATTCAGCTTCACAACATGAAATTATGAATCGTAGCCAACCTTCTCAATGAGGTTCATAGATGCAAAGACATTTGCAATATCATACAAGCGTCTAACCTTTGCTGCAGATTAAATAGGGAAAATGCAAGTCAAAATTAAGAATGCATTTGCAAAAACTTTTGGCACTTAACAAAGATAACATGAGTAATTGTGTCTTGGAACATTTGGAATATGAGGGAACCAGGAAGTAAAATAGGTACAGAAATGGAGAGAAGGAAAGAAACTGTGTTTGCATTGGTTGTAGAGGGAAGCAAATGAGAAAAAAAAGACTGAGAAATAAAGACAAGCCATACACTTGGAGAAATTAGAACAGAATAAATATATAGTGCTGAGAAAGAACTAATTGATTTTCCCATTTTGGATCAGAAATTAATCCATGGTGCTTTCCGCGTGGCATTACTTTCTCCCCTGTTTCCCATCTTTATATTACTCTTCAACTTTTCTTCTTTCCTCTCATCCAAATTCCAAACACACCATAAATGAAGGGAAATTACTTCGCATGGCAGTTGGATCATGCATGTTACCCAGCAAAGCTGATGCAGCATTGTCTAGTGAGATGAATTCCATCTAAGGTAGATAAAAAAGCATTGAACAAACTTTAATAAGCAACTTTAAAATAGGTAAGTTTATGAAAATATTAGAACCAAGACTGCTCCACTTACTTCAGAACAAAGAAAAAGTTTTACAAAGTTCTGCGTCAGGAGAGCCAACGATTTTTCCTTCCTGTTTTCTATACAAACAAGCATGAAAATTAATTAACATCAAAACATAGAAGCCAGTAATACTCACTATAACTTCATTTTTGCTTTCATTTTTCCTAGAATAATCATATGACTAAATTAAAGGGTATAGAAGGCAGTAACCTCCTTTAACCAATTCATGTGTGCTATCTTGTGTGTTGCTTGAGCTCACAGTTACTTGGTAATCATTTTCCATTGAAACCTACGTTAAAAAACATGATTATAAATTTAATTGGTAATGAAGGAAAAACTTTAAGGTGAACATTGAAACAGGGAATGAAAAATGAGAGAAGCTCAAGAAGGAGAAACCACATACACTTGCAGTCTTTTGGCCATTGAGATTCTCTCTCAAACCTTCCTTCTACAAATTAAATGAAAACATAAGGAAACATAAGATTATCCAAGCTTCAGTTATCCACAAAGATTACTACAAGAACCTTAAGTGCATCAACGAAGTTCTGTGTCAGGAGAGCCGCTGATTTTTCCTTTGTGTTGTCTATGCAATCAAGAATGAAAATAAATTGACATCAAGACATTGTAATACTCACTAACAGTTCACTCTTTCTTTCAGTTTTCCTAAAATAATCATATGACTAAAACAAAGGGGAAAGAAGCCAGTAACTTTCTTTACCCAATTCACGTGTGCTATCTTGTGTGTTGCTTGAGCTCACAGTTAGTTGGTAATCATTTTCCCTTGAAACCTATATTTAAATAATAAAATTAAAAACTTAATTGGTAATGACAAAAAAACTTTAAGGCGCCAATTGAATGGGAATGGAAATGAGAAGCACAAGAAGCAGAAAACGCATACACTAGCAATCTTTTGGCCATTGAGCTTCTCTCTCAAACCTTCCTCCTACAAAAATGAAAACATAAGGTAACATAAGATAATCCAAGCTTCATACATCCACAAAAATTACTACAAGAACCTTATGTGCAACCAGAGTTTGAGGAAGTGCAGTGAAACCCTTGCAAGTGTACTGATTCTTAGCTCTTCGGGACAAAAAATCATGTTTGCTATCCTGTGTGTTGCTTGAACTCACAGTTGGTTGGTATTCATTTTCCATTGAAACCTACTTAAAAAAACATAATTACAAATATAATTGGTAATGAAGGAAAAACTTTAGGGCGGCATTTGAACCAGGGAACGTAAACTGAGAGAACCACAAGGAGAAACCACATACTTTTCCAATCTTTTGGACATTGAGCTTCTCTCTCAAACCCTCCTCCTACAAATGAAATAACAACATAAGGTAACATAAGAGAATCCAAGCTTCAGTCATCCACAAAAAATACTACAAGAACCTTAAGTGCTTCCAGAGTCTGAGGAACAGCAGTGAAACCCTTCCAAGTGTACTGATTCTTAGCTCTTCGGGACAACAACTGGAGAGAAAATTGTAATTAGCTTCTGCTTTTGAAGACTGAAGTTTTAAGGTTATGTCAAATAAAATTACCCCAACACTCTCTAGTATGTTAACGATATCGTAAATTCGGCGTCTTTCAACACCTAGAGACACAAACATATTCATAAATCATAGGTAAATTTTGTTAACCATGAATTTCCTACACCCAGTGAAGAGAATAAGAGATTATATGGAAATTAACATAAAAACAGTATAACAGATAGTTTGAAGACCTAATTGATCAGCAGCATGGTCCAATCCAATGCAATCCACATCATCTCGGTCGTACAGCCTCAAAAAACTGAGCAACACGAGTTTATCAGTTCGTACACGAATACATATATCATTTCTAGGTGCGTCAAGCATGTATGTTCATAAATACAGTTGTTATAAGAAGTAAAATACTGTACGTAGAGAGAGTTACTTGGAGCAGAGAACGCCGAGAGATTTCTCTTTGCGGCTGTACAAGGTAATAGGGTTTTTGGATTGTGAATCGCTATTGACTGACAACGACATTCCTCGCTATGAGCTTGAATTCTGCCTCTTCGTCGGAGCTTTGGCGAAATCTAATCCAAAAATGGAGCAATTGAACTGGGGCAAAGGGGGAGAAAGAGCATTCCCGTGGCGGGCTCTGGAGTTCAAAATTCGGATTCGGATCCTACATATATGTATGCGGAATTGCTGGTCCGCGAAAACGACAAAAACATGCCCGCCGCATAATGGAAAGAGTGCTTTTTACAGTTTTTGTTGGATGTTTTGTTTTTGGACTGAAATTTGTTGGTCTGGTCTGTTAAACGTTTGGACTCTGTGTATTTTATAACTATGGAAGTCTGGTCTGGTCTGATGTGTTTAAGTCTTGTCTGGTCTGGTCTGTTTAAGTCTTGTCTGGTCTGGTCTATTTAAGTCTGGTCTGGTCTGATCTGGGACTGAAAACAGTCTAAAAGAAAACATCCTTTTATCATGCACTTGAACAGAGTTTTAAAATAAGAGCATTTCGTTTTCTGTTTTCAGCTTATGGACTCATGGAAGTGTTTAATTTGCATATTAAAACTCCATTTTTTTACTCAGTAATTTTGAAATAAGTGTATGGTTAAACATTTAGAATATTCTTTTCTGTCAACTCTTTCCTCTACTTTTTTGTAACATTGTTCTTGCAGTTTCATTCTTTATGATGCTATGTGTGTGACAAGATTTTGGAAATTAATGTCTAAATTAATTTTAATGCATTACTTTCTATGTTTTTGTGTAATGTCTATGACATCTTATTGTTTTAATATTTAATATGCGCCCTTATTATATGACTAGATTTTCACCCGTACTTCACACGGGATGCGGTTAGTAAGCAATAAATTGTTTAAGAATATATAGAAATGTTGTAATAAAAATAGATCAATGTATATATTGTTTCTAAGAAACGTAAATGAAGATAAAAAAAATTACAAATTATTTTATACTTCCTTGCAAACAACTTTTATAGTCTTCTTGGTCTGCTTTCTGTCATCATCACATATAACAAACTTCAACTCAGACGGGGACATTACTCTTGACTCTTGAGATCGCGACGTAAAGTTGTTCATAGGTGAAAACTGGACAATATAAGAAAAACATAAACCCTCTCCAAAGACTATCCCTGGCTCTTACTAATAGTCATCGTGTAACTAAACATGAAAGGAAATCTCAAAAAGCGGAATTCTCTACTGCTCTATGGCTTGAAGTTTTAACTTTATTTTTCAGTAAAATGGAGCCTACAAAATTACAAATATGATAGACTGGTCTCCATGATCCAAAATTAATATGGACAGTGAATTACATCATGGCGCAAATTTGTTCCTCTTCATTCTAAGTTTTCAACAATTGAATAAGTGATTAATATCGACATCTAATAAGGTTAAAAGGAAACTGAAATTTTAACAAAAAATGTCCTTGCATACGAATATGCTCATTGACCTATTGTCGTACATATGATGTTAAATTAGATATCATTTTCTTTTCACTATATGTGGCATTTACACATTTACCACATTTGTATGACAATTATAGGCGTTACTTGTATGCATATAAAGTCATATTAAACTTAAAATTCTATAAATCATCTTTTTTAGGCAATTAGCAAGAGAAATGATTCTAACACCTTCAGAAAGGTTCACGGTCATGTAGTAGTTTGTGCATGTGCCGATGTGCACATTTATATGACACTGGATTTATAGTAGATATATTATCTGGATACATATAGATAACGATTAACGAATAAATGAAAATCCAGAAAGTACAACATGAAGCCAATAGAAGTCATCCAGACTTGAGCGGTTCAAATTGTCTGAAAACCAACTTTCTCCATCGTCATCTTTACCAACTTTCTCCATCATCATCTTTACCAATGGAGATGAGAAAGCCGCTTAGAAAGCTGCCAATGCCAAATATACATACTGGGGTATCAAACACCACATCGGAAATGCCAACTATTACATATAGTGGTATCAGCCATCAGAACCTGCACAGTTAGTATAATTCCCTAAACATCTTGTTCCAACTTCCAATGATATGGATGTACAATTAGTCTTCCGATTCCTAAATGGGTTGAAAAACACAAAATCAGAAGGGAAAAAAACGATATCAAATGATTGTTTTGTTATTAATGTTTTGTAATTGTAATTTATTTTGATTTCAATTTTTTTAGTTTTTTTTCAAGTAGTAGTAAACTTAACATTCTTCTAAAATAAAATATCTTATTTTAAGCCTCTATCCAATAAAAATTGGTAGAATACTGGTAAAGTAAAGTTAAACATAGAGCTAATAATTAACACAATAGTCAGCATCAGGAAAATACAAAAACACATGATTTAAAAAAGGAGCATAGAATGTATTGATGAACTATTAATAATGTCAAAATAAACTTTATTGAACTTTATTAAAAAACTCAGAATAAAAAAATAGGGTAAAATTACAAAATCACATAACTACAACTAAAGATTTATTTGAGCAAAAATATGGTAAAAGTAACAAAATCCCATAAGTATTTATACATTTAATTTAAGAAATATGATAATAAAGAATTAAAACTACAAATAGAGACTATGAATTCCAATCTGGAATAAAAGTGATAACACGCTACTGAAATCCAAATAGAATTTGATAAAATGCAGGTTAAATCTCATGCCGGTTAAGTCTAGACCCAGCAGATATATTTAACTCACCAATAGCACCAGTAGTTAAGGATGCATGTTCCTCCCTGAACATCAAAATGTGACCAACAACAAGTTCTGCATTTATATTACAACTAGTTACATTAACGCGCGATGCGCGAGGGGATAATGCCCAATTTAGTGTCTGTCTATATGTTAGTTTTTGTAATAGAAGACTACTCAATGTATTATATTTCCAAACGTAAAGGTGAGGCTTTAGATATATTGCTTTTAAGAGGTTGGAGAAACTCCCTCAAAAGTAATTATTTCCTATTACAAGTTTAATGAACAACATGCTAAACTAGCTAGAATTTTTTAAAAGGAACTCAATTATTGTCAAACATTCCTTAAGCAAGATAGTTTGTTTTCATAAACAAAAATGCAAGAGAAGCTAAGATTTATTAAGTTCTTGTGTTGGATTGTCAATTTTTGTGTAGAATACGAAGGTATAAGAGAAAAAAAGAACAGTGGCGTCCTTTAAAAAGCGGCGTTAATTGAATTAACCAATCTAGCATTTTCTATCCAATGCAATAATTACCTCAGACCCCATGTTTCTGCCTGCGCTGAGCTTAAAGATGCTCTAACCCACTCCGTTCGTGCCGTGCAAAACCGGCCTCTATGATCTGGAACGCAGGCACCACAACCCGCCCTTTTACCTTCTTCAAAAAGAGCTCCATCTATTGCATTTAATATTTTTAGGGGGTGGATCTTAACATCTTGTACAACTATTACACTTAGCTTACATTGGACTATGCAAACATCGGGCTCTCTCCAAAGCATGCAACCGTTGTTTCGCGGTCTCATAGACTCCCTCAGTCCCTCCCACATCAAGTTTTTCCTCCTATGCCATATACTCCTAAGGGTAATTCCAAATATTTTCAGTTTATTCTCCACAAGAGTAGCAAATCTTCCCAGAAAGAGTTCCACAAAGTTTTCTGCGGTGTGCATGGCTAAAAATATTTTGAAAATATATATACATGATCTGTGATAGACTCCCTCAGTCCCTCCCACATCAAGTTTTTCCTACTATGTAATATGGAAGTTCTTGAAAAGTGAATAAAATAAGGAAATATTGGTTTCAGTAAACAAATTAAAATTGCGTTGTGCTAAGTTTGAGCTTGTGTCATTTCTCAAGTAAATGCTCATCATGTAGGAGCAAAGTAATTTAATAAATCCTGTGAATAATCAATACACAGACTAAAATGATACTGATTTTTGTGTGTGACCCTACTAACATGACATATAACATAACGCCAATTTTTTAGAACTAAAACTAATATTAATTTATGAATTCAATTTCCAAATAAAAATAACTAAATAAAAACCAAACATAATTAAAATATTAAAGCATCGAAACAAAACAAAAAGGAAAAAAGACAAAGTTATTAACTGCTCGAATGCATACAAATATGAGTGAGCTGACTATATGTGGTGTGCTAAATGGAAAATGAAAATGAAGCTCAAATATCTAAATATAACTTTTTCTGAGTTTTAAATGGAGTAGTGGTGATTAATCAAGAGATTAGAAGGTAACATTTTTGTAACTTTTCCCCTAACACAAAAAAGTGCTAATCCCTTGATTGGTTACAACTACATTTTAAACTGAAATTCAATAAAAGATATTATATATTAAAAGTTAATATACATGAACTCAACTTCTGTATCAGATTCACTAATTGCAGGCTGCATTTATTATCTTTAGAAGTTAATTTACGACATTAAAATTCAGAGAAACCACAGAATAGAAGCTTATTGTCTTTCAAAAGATTTTAAAACTGGAATTCGAGGCAAACTAAGTCCATATTAGCTAGACTAATATGGTAGGTTTAACTACTGAGATTCCCTTTTCAATGTAATATCATGCTTCAGCTTGCTATTACCATGTGAACTGAGTTCTTTTTCAATTTAAGTATTTTAACAAAAAACATTACAAACCCAACATTCATGCTTGTATGATAACATAGATAAGGAGAAGAGAACTCACATGCTTAGGTCTGAATTTTTTCTTGCAGGCCTGGGGGCGTAACTTGCTTGATAGAAGGCAGCCGCCTAGTTGAACCCCCCCCCCCCTCCCGCTATTTCAGACGATTTAATTGTACAGAATCAATCCATTCTCCTTGTTGGAGAGGTAGATTTGTCATGTAAAGTTGAGTCTGGAGAAAGAGTTAGGTTTCAATAAAAATGTTTTGTAATCTGATGAAGAGCTCAGAGTGCCACAAGGCAAATTAAAAGAATAATTTTGAAGTACTCAAATACCCGAACCCCCATGCCCGAAAGCGATCTGCACTTCCTTTCCCCCATGCCCATAATTACCTGTTTAATTTAATGACATAGCTAAAGTAATATGCTAGTTGGATGTTTAATTTTTTTTTATTGATACATAGTGTTAATCCCTATTTCTAACAATCATACAATCATAAGAATGAAGAACAAGCAAATAGATTGAACAGAAATTTGGTACATCGTGTAATGGCCGCTGCTCTCCCTCTAGAGAGAGAGAGCAGCGTAAACTATTCTATTCTCTAT